ATTCAAAGTGGTTAGGATAGATATATAGTTACATGCTCTTAATGAATAGAGTGATTTGTTCTAATGGTGTTTGTAAATAGGATACTATGTCTGCATCTTGTACAGCAATTAACCACTAGGAAGAATATATGCAATGTGTTAATTATTGAAACTGTCCTACCAATTTGATTTGAAAAAAAAAAAAGTAGGAAAATTAGCCAGGTGTGATGGTGTACATCTGTAGCCCAGCTCTAGAGAGGCTGAGGCAGGAGACCCTGTCTCCAAATAAAAGAGTGAGAATATTTATTGAGAGAGATAACTCCTGAGAGACAGGAAGGGACCTGAAAGAAGATTGTCACAGAGCCCACTTTTCTGAAAGTTTTATAAAGCAGAATTATGTACAATGCAGGTCGAATATATCACCCAGTAAGATTACAAATATAGCTGCTTAGCTAATATTGATCCAGTAGTGTCAAGGGCATATGGATGATATCATTAACCTTGGTAAATAATCTATAGTCTTAGTCTTTGGGGTGGGAGAGGATAGCCCACCCCTTATGAGGTAATGGTTTACCTATATGGAAAATCTCATACAGGTCATATCAACAATCTCAAGATTTTTAATGGAAGTATATAAATTTGAGCATTATAATTTTAATCTTTTTTATTTTATTTTATTTTTTTTTAAAGAATTTGCATACACTTTCAACCAGAATAACAAGTGTTATGGTTTTACTCTTTTTTTTTTTGTGGAACTGGGGCTTGACCTCAGGCCCTTGTACTTGCCAGGGAAGTGCTTATTCCACTGAGCCATCTCCCCAGCCCATAATTTTAATCTTTTTTAGATGTGTCTCTAGCCAGGTTTTTTTTTTTTTTTTTTTTTTTTTGGAACTGGCAATTGAACTCAGGCCCTTGTGTTTACCAGGGAAGCGCTTATTCTACTGAGCCATCTCCCTGGCCCCTCTGGCCAGTTTTGATGTGTTTTTGTCTTTTGCATGACTCCCTAGAAGGCCTAGCCCTGTCAGATCACACATGATATTTTTAATTAACTTAGCTATCTATAATATTAGGACAAGCCAAATAATTCTCGGGACCTTGTATGTTCAACATTTTACAGGCTCTTAGGAGATGTGTACAACATAAAAGAGAGAAGATGCTGCAGGTAGCCCACTGTGCTGACTTCCCAGGATAGCCTGTGCTGTGTTTCCCAGACACAGTGTGTACTTCTGTTTTTGCTTTTATTGTCTTTTTCTCTTGTTCTGTCCAAGTTCCCTGTGTAGAGCTGGTTTCTTCTATAACCATTCACCCCTCACTTTTCTTTCTTTTCTTTTCTTTTTCTTTTTTTTTTTTTTTTTTTTTTTTTTTTTTTTTTTTTGAGGCGAGGTTTTACTGTGCAGTTCAGGCTGGCCTTATAGTGCAGGTTGGCCTTTGAACTCACAGTGAGCCTCTACCTCAGCCTCTCAGGTACTGGGATTATAGGCCAGCATCGCCATGCCCAGCCACCTCTCACTTTTCTTTTCTTTTCTTTTCACCTCTCATTTTTCAAGTAAACTTTTGGCACTACTGTGACTTGTTTCGTCCAATTCCTTGTCTCATATAAGACGGACCTGGAATACTGTTTTTTTTTTTAAGATTAGGAAGAATTTATTGAGAGAAAGTAAGCTTTTGAGAGGTACAGAAAAGGGCACAGAATGTGAGTTGCCTACCAACCCTGCATCTCAAGGGTATTTATTAAGCAAAGCCACAATGTGACAGGCTTACAGAGGGACAGAACTATAATCAATAAGATTACAAGTACAATCTCTTAGGTAATTTTGATCCAATGCCAAGTCACAGGATAGGTGTGAGGTGGGACAAAACTATGATCAACCAATAAGATTACAACTATAGTCATCAAGGGTAACAATGAATTAAATGGGGAAGTGAAGAAGCAAGTCCCATAGCAAGTGCACATGGGTAGACTTTCCTGGATGGAGTGAGTTACGGTTTGGTCATCTACCTCAAGGTGACTGATGCCTACTTAGAATAACTGCTATTCATCCCAGTGAAGTTTATGGGTGAATAGTTCTTTTTCTTGAAGCCTGGCCTTGAGTGAATGTGCTTCCACTGTTATCTTCTGCACTGACCTCTTGGGGCCCAGCTCTGTGTGATTGCCCACAATATATATATATTAATATATTTAGTACAGGGTCTCACTATACACATCGGACTCATAGTGATCCTCCTGTTTTCAGCCTCCCAAGCACTGGGATTACAGGTGCAAGCCACCATGCCCAGTCTCAATCATCTCAGCCCACCAGGGGGGATGATGCTGGCACTGCATGCCAGGGATCAAACTTTAAACCTTGATCCCTGCATCTGCCCACAATATTTTTACCTTGGCTGTCTATAATACTCCTGGACCTGGAATACTTTTGATTGGCAAGTCATTTTTAAAGGAATTATCTGATAATCTTAGCCACTAGGGAGACTGAGGCTAGCCTGGGAACTTTGGCAAGTCTCCCTATCAAAATAAAATTAAAGGGGCCGGGGAGATGGCTCAGTGGAATAAGCGCTTCCCTGGCAAGCACAAGGGCCTGAGTTCAAGCCACGGTTCTGCAAAAAAAA